AGGTCACTCCATATTGCTTTCCACAGTTGCTGGGCCAATCGGCATAATTACCAACAGTGCATGAGGGTTCCTTTATCCCTACATCCTTGCAAACATTTCTTGTTTGTTGATTTATCTGACAGGCGTGAGGTGATAGCTCATTGTGGTTTTAATTTGCATTTCCCAGGTAATTAGTAATGTCGGGCATCTTTTCATATGTCTATTGGCCACCTGTCCACTGATCCCTGAATAGTCTTGCTTCACACACACATACATCCAGACACAAACTAGAGGTGTTCTGAATGCCGAATAACACTCTAAGGGGGGGTACAGAAAAGACTTCATTTGTGGTGTGTACCTGGTATAAATGTTCCCAGCATGACCAATTTCAAGCTACCCACCTGATGAACACAGAGCCCAGAAGAGACGTGCACCACTGACTATCCCAAGCTAGTATGAGCCAGCTCCAGCCCACCCCATCCCCTTTCATGTAATATGTGCACACAGGCCACTTACACACTGAGTAGGGCCCTCAACTCCCACCCCAGATACATAAACAGAAATTAACTTACATATATGAACACGCATGAACATTTCTATCCTCCCTCACTGAATATACACATAGACCACCTCTTACTACCTAAATTGTTACAGACAAAACCCTAATCATCCTGATTACTGGCATTTTATACTTACAACTACACACACACACACACAACAGGGGTTTGAATACAAACATGTGCAACCAACATACCACCCAGATGTACACACTGAATACCTAAACACACAGGCCCTCTAAAACCGCCAAGTACACAATTGTCTCATGTGCCACCCAAAAAAAGATTCATGTGCAATTCCAAAGCCCTAAAATACACATTCTCCAGGATCCCTGAGGACACACACAACCGTCTCCTCATTTCCAAACACACAAAGTGAACTCTCACATCCCCTAGAATACACACCCTCCATAAGCTCCAGGAACTCAAGTACATACACAGTCACAAACAACCTATACATATCAAATACATGTGAGTCCACCTCACACACCGAGAAGACACATACAAGCAACACCAACAAATTCTGTGAGCATTACATTCTAGAATAGACACAAGGAAGACCCTAGGTCTCCTGCTACACTCACACATGCCAAATACACACACCCACTAACTACTCATGAATATACACCCCACATGCTCAGATACATACACACAAAATACAAAAACAATGACAGTCCTTTAACTCTTACTAATATATACACACAATTCTCACATACTTATAGACACACACATGCATGTAAATATTCCCAACCCCTGAATATACAGATCCCTCAAACATTATGTATTATGCCATCTCTCCAGAATACAACCGCCATCACCTCTCCTCTTCCATATATAAAAAAAGCACACTAGATATTTTTTTCTCCAGCCTCACCCTGAATATACACACAGACAACTGCTTACTAAGTACTACCAAATACATGTAGAAACACTCTAGTATTCTCCAAAGAAATACACTTTGAATATGCCTAACAATTCCATATATCCTATGAACAAACTGTTAATTCATGTACCTGGTGATAAATATAAACACAAACCAGTATATATGCTCAAGACATAGAAATATCTCCAGAAAACCCTATATGAAATAATTCCCAAAAACAAATTATCCCTACCTAATGAGTCAGGTCTCACATCCACAAATACTAACAAATAACCATACCACACACCCTTGATACATATAGTACATAGAGATTCAATTCTCCCACTCCACTGTATAGACACAGAAGCCCATCTCTCCATCAGATACGTTCATACTCACTTCCCAAATTATGTAAGCCTTATAGCGCCCCCCCCAGTGAAATATATAAACAAAGAGCTCCAGCAAATATTTCTCCAAACAGCTATAGCCCTAGAATAAATGTGTCAACTCCATACACACACAACTCTCCACAAGCCCCACATATACCCACAATTACCCAATACACTACAAATACGCAAACACACCGTGCATTATCCTATGTCCAAATACATATGGAATGCCACACTACCTGCATATACATAACCCCACACTCCAAAATTCTCTCACAGAATTAACTCTTCCATCGCACAGAATAGTCACACAAACACCACATCAAATCATACAAACACCACATCACACCTCATATACTACATCCACCAGTCCTGTAAAATAGTCAGATTTACCCTCTGCACAATGAAACAGGCATAGACAGCTGCTGAGAAGCATAAGAAGAGATACGCATAACCATACAACATGCCCTGGGTACACGATGGTCCTTCCACATCCCCCAAATACAAAACAAAAGATCATGCACCCAAGCTGATGAACAGCAGCTCTTTTCCTAACACTGCCCCGTGCATATGCAGGTAATCCTTCCAAGTCGGCCATCAGAGAAATCCCCCAATTCACAGGAGGAACAAAACAGGTAAATATGCCCACCCCCCACCAAACAGCAAATTACAAACATCTAACTGCCAACCCCTTGAGCATACACGCACTACACCTCACACCCTCCAAATACACACCCAATCCCACTCGCGCTCACGAAACCACAGGCATGACCTCCCCTTCATCACAAATATCCACAGACAGAACCAACCCCCACATTTGAAGACAAAGAACAGATTCCCGCCAACCATTACATATGCACACACCCCACCTAGGCTGGCAATTCCGTGACTGGACAGCAGATGTCGCTACTGTTCCAGGCAGCCAGGTCGCTCAGCTCATTGACAGGAGTGCAGGTCGAAGGTCATTCCTTGCTGGTGGAGACTTTCCCAATAGGATGGAAGTCACGTGGGGAAGTACGGGAAAGCTTCTCCCGTTTCCACTCCTTCTCAATGACCTGAGCTGCTTCTTGCTGAGCCGGAGGGCAGTTTTCACACTCAGAAGAACGGCCCCAAGCTCTTGTGTCACTCAGAACGCAAGGAACCCAAAGGACCCCGGGGTGTCACAGCTCACAGGCAGTAGCGGACCCGGCGATCACTGAGGCGCCCGCGCAGCCCGTCCCCAGGGCCGCCAATTCCCTGGGTCAGCTGTGTGCCCTGTGGGCCTGAGCACAGCTCAGCCGGCTCGGAGCCCACAGTGTGAACAGGGAAGGGCGGTGACACGGGAGGGGGAGGAGTCTGAGCGCATCTCCAAACACCTTGTTTACAGTTAATTTTTTATTGATTTTTAGAGAGAGACAACATACTCTACCCAACTCAACTACCCGGCCTGGGCTCTCACCTTCTTGTTCCCTCCTAACGGACCCTGGAGGCCGCCATGCCAGGCCCCGCGCAGCCAGGACGGCCATTGCGGACGCTCCTTGCCGCCTAGCGCATGCGCACCTACCAGACCAACTGCCACAACGGATGCTGGGAGCCGTTGCAGGACAGAGCCGCGCCCCCAGGGGGCGTGCTGGCGCGAGGAACCCGGGAACCTGCCCAGGCTTTCGCTGCGGGAGAGGAAAGTGGAGGGTGGGAGCTCCCTGTGCAGCTTCTCAGGCAAATCCTCCTTGGGAACCTCCCTCACTGTCCCTCATTCAAACCAGCGCGAATGAAATGAGCACTTACGATTGTAAAATTACAAACGTGCAATCCGTGCACTTAGCTACCACCCTCGTGAAAGAGTTTTGCAGAGGTCCTAACACACGTCCTCAGATAGGGGCAGTGCCTTCGTGCCCTTTGGACTGCATCCCCATGGTTTCTGAAAGAGTAGGTGCTCTCTGGCAGCAAGCCTGGGTGCCCCATCACACAATTCTGGACGAGAACTTTAGACCTGGAAAAAAATCGAGGAGATTCTTTCCCTTAACTCCATTCCTAGAGTTTTTCCAAATGCACGTACTGTACTGGAATATTTGTCTTAGTGGATTTATTTAGTATGTGGAGCTTTTTCAATAAACGTGGATTCAGAGGTTTTCATTGCAAACTTGTTGTTATAACATCGATCAAGACTTGACCGTCTAAGCCAGTTTCCATTGACACAGCATATAGTACGGGAACAGTTTCACCTTCTCTTTCCTCCTTTTTTATATTACGTTGCAGAATTCCAGTTGGCAATATAACATATATATAATAGCAGAATGAACTTACTAATTTACTTGAGTTTTTCATACTTTCCAAAGAAACTGAAATCATTTGATCCTCTTTCTGGTCATTTGCAAGAGGCAGGAAAGGAGAAACACTCATCACTGAATTTTCCATTTTGCAAAATTTGACTGTGAACTATGCCAAGACATTATGTATTTAAAATATTACAAAAGGTTAAAAATTAAACATCGAACAACACAATACTCTGAGAAACAGAAGGTAGTGATTTCTGGTCTTGCCTTGCAGGCTACAGGGCCTTGCGCTATTGGACCGGAGCAAAGAGGATCGTGTGTAAAGCTGGGCCGGCTGCGGTCTGCGGAGCTTCCAGGACTGGATGGAACTTGTAAAGAGTGATGTGCACACAGCAACCGAACATGCTGGGTCTGCTGAGTCAGTCCTACTTCAAACACTGGGTTCCGTGTGGCCATAAGTTCCTATTGTATTTTTCAGGCTCTATGTCCTGCATTTTGTACAGAAAGGATAGCCTGTGTTGAAGTAAGTCATGAGCCAGGAAGGAAGCAGGTTGCAGGGCCCAAAACTAGGTTGATGGATCAACAACTGCAATTAAGGGCCCGTCAAGTCAAGCCTCTGTGCTGTGAACCTGAAAACACCGATGTATACATTGCTAAAGAGGCACACACCAATGGTGTTGCCACTTAAAATCTGAAAGGAACTGCTGGTTCTTGCCTACCTGCAGAGCCCTCCATGGAATGTCTCTCCAGCCCCTCCCACCCAGGCCCGCCTGCCCCTGCCCCTGCCCCTCCCCCACTGTAGAATGTCTAGGGTCCTGCATTCTGCTGTTTAAATTTAAATCCTAACTCCTTCACTGGATGCTGAGCATCTGTTGGAGCAGCTCATTCTCTGGGCTCTGGACTGAATTTTCTCATTGTGGAGGCTACTAGGCGGCAGTGGTCATTGCCTGAGCCTGCGCAGATGGCTTCAGTAGGAGGTAAGTCTATAGATTGGAGGGGGCGTGTTTTAGAGACCAACCTGTCCCTCAAAACTTGGGATTAAAATGTGACACTTCCACTGGGGAAACAGAGTTTGGACTGAAGTAGGGGAAGGAGACAGCACTGGACCTCCAAGGACCTGTCACCAGGGGAGGCTGGGACCCAGTGGAAACCTGTCACCACACTGGGCAGGAGGGCTCCTAAGAGGTGGATCAGGATGACTCAGGGGAAATGTCAGGGTGTGGAGAAGGGAAGGCGGCGGGCACATGGATTCTTTCTAGAGGGAGACAAGCCCCTTTGACCCGTGTGTGTAGGAACCAGTGGGTTATGTGGTAGTGGCTCAAGGAGGGTCATGGGGAAGCTGGTCCTGTGTCCTGTTCCTCGGGCACCTGGAGCTTGCCCCACAATTTCTTTCTAAGGGATTTGAGCTGAGTACACTAGAGCTGATGGGGCAGTGGGAAGAGGTGGTCTTAGCCAGAAAGTTGTGCAGTGGGGCTGTCCATGGCCAAGTCTTCAGTGAAAGGTCCTCCCCGAGGGCTAGGCTGGAAGGTGCTCCAACTGCCGCAGCCCAGAGCTTCTCCCCTGCTTCCAGCCCAGAGCTCCCTTCTCCTCAGTCCAGGGAGCTGCTTGTTGTCTTGGGCTCTACACGGGCAGGGCAGCCGGGTGACATCCACCCAGATAGGGCTCGGTCCCTGAGCTGTCCTGAATTGTCCCCCCTCTGTGGCCACTCAGGCCTTCAGACCTACGTCCTCCACCGTCTGTCCCATGGCGCACCCTCTCCCCTGCCTTTCACCTTTGAGCTGAGGGGTTTGCTCACAGACCACATCCCTGCTTTGGGACAGAAAACAGATATGGAGCGTGGTGGGCTCTCCCGTGGAACGTCTGTGAAGGCGGATTCCTGTATTAAGGGGAAAGGGGAGCAGCCCGAGGCAGGAAGACGATCTTCTGCGTCATTAGGAAACGTCCGAGGACGCCTGTGCTGAGCCGTTAGGGGCCCGTGGGGTGTAGCTTGTTCTCCTGGACTAGGGTCTGCGTGAGTTCCTCTGGGCAGGGCTGTGTTCCCGACCACTGTGTCCCACTGACACCTGGCTCACACCTGGTTCTACTGCACCTTCACTTTCCATTGTTGGGAGCTGGAAGGGAAGGACCACAGACAGGTAGCAGTCCCAGAACCAATCTAACATGAGAGCCGCCATTGAAGTTTCTGGAAACTTCTACTGAGACCCCCATTTTGCCCTCCTCTCCTGCCCTCCTCTAGCGCTCTGCAGCCATTGCTGGCTGTGAAATGACAGAATCTCAGGGACACAGCACCTACTTTCCAGAGCCCTCTCCTGGGAACAGAGCCCCTGAGGGTGGCCATTCCTATGGGGCCGGAGTGGCAGAACCTGGCCCAGGCTAAGTGTTTGCTATTGTTGGCTCTGACACACATGTGCAAACTGGGCTGCTGTGTTAAAGGCTTATATCAGGGTTCCTGTTGTCTTCTTGTGGAGAGATGTTACTCAAGTGTTTTTGTGTTGTTGGGAAAGACCAGGAAAGAGAGTGATTTTTTTTTTTTTAAATCCTCGCTCAAGGACATTTTTTTTGTGTTTATCTTCAGATAGAGCAGGAGGGAAGGAGGGAGGAAGAGAGAGAAACATCAATGTGAAGGAGACACATCGAGTGGCTGCCACCCACACGATTCCAACCGGGGCTGGGGACAAACTTCAACCGAGGTACGTGCCGTTAGCCTGAACCGAACCCGGGTCTCTCTGGTCCACGGGCCGACACTCTAACCGCTGAGCCAAACCGGCCAGGGTGAGAGTGACTTTTGTTGTTGTTCTTTATTCTCAGCTAAGATATTTTCCATTGATATTTAGATACAGTGGAAGGGGGGAGGGGTGCAGAGAGAGAAAGAGAAACATCGATGTGAGAGAGACATATCTATTAGTTCACTCCCACATGAATCCAACCCAAGAACGAACCTGCAAACTAGGAAATGCCTCTGAGCAGGAACAGATCCCGAGACCCTTCGGTGTGTAGGCCAGTGATCTCAGTTCTGAGTCAAACCACCAAGGCAACGAGAGTGATCTTCATTGAAGAAAAGGAAGACTGAGGGGGAGATGGGGCCCTAATATTTAGACACAGCCTGTTCTCAAAAGACCTTTGGGAGCCTAGAACTTACCTTGGAGAAAGTCCTACCACTAGTGTGTCTGCCCAGGGTCATTTCCCACAGAGAACATTTCGGCCCAGTGCCATGTCATGGGGAACAGCCTCTGAGGCTGGCAGGTTGGTGCCAGGGAGTCCTTAGGGAGGTTCTCAGAGTCAGCACGAGCCGGGGCTGTTTTGATCTGCAGAGAGTGGCAGGGAGCCTGGCGAAAGGGGAGCAAGCTCTCTAGTGGAATAATTTTCAACTGGAGGTCAGTGTGACAATGACTTGAGGACATTTGCAAACTCCACATTTGCTCCATCCAAATGGCCCTCACCTGTTGAGACGCACCTCTCTGACTCCCCAGTGGCTAAAGGGGACCCAGAGCACCTCAGTCCTCTTTGCCGATTCTCCTTCTCCATTCACCCCTTTCCTTTGTCTCAACAGCATCTGCAGTGCTGGGAGCGGATGTGAGCGTGGACCCTGGTGCCTCCACGACTCCTTCCATGGAACTGGCCTTTCTCCCGCCCACTGCTGGCCCCACACACCAGCCAACATTGGAGCAGCACCTGTTGACCCTCACCACCCTGTCATTCCCTCCTGACCAGCCCCAGGCGCTGTCAGCTTTGCCCAGGGCACCTCTGGTGGCAGGAGATGCTGGTCAGGGCCCCATTGGGACTGGGGCCTGTAACATCATAGACCAGGTCAGGTCAGAGGAGGGGCAACCACAGCCCCCTGAGACTCAGACCATCGTCCTGCCTCAAGGCCCACTCAACAGCAGTGCTCCAGATGCCATCTGTGGGGGTGCTGTATGTCCTGTACCCCTCTTCTTGGAGACCTCTGCAGTGGAGACCATTATTCCTGCATTGGCTTTTGGAGGAAACCAGACCAGCCAGGGAGGCTGGTGTCCCGGCCTTCCTCCTCCAGCTCCACCAGCAGCTGCCCAGCTGGCTCCCATCATCCCCCCAGTGAATGCTGGGCCATGGCCGCATAGGGCTTCCAGGGAGGGTGGCCTGGCCACCTCCCAGCCCAAGGACCCGCCGGATGGTTCCTGTAACCCCAAGATTCTTTACGAGGACTTCCGACGATGGCAGCTCTTCAAAGCCCTGGCCCAGGGGCACCTTCCCCAGAGTCCTGATGCGGAAGCTCTTTCCTGCTTTCTCCTGTGAGTGCACTGGGCAGGGCACGGGGCTCCCCTGGAGCTTCCCATCCTAGAGGAACGTGGGAGGGACATGCAGGCTGGCTGCTCCTGGGGTCCTGACAGGAAGGGCTGAGGCTGATGTCCAGCTGTAGGGTGCAAGTGGACAGTCTGCCTCCAGTCCAGGTTCATGTCTGGTGTGAATGTGAGGCAGTAACAGCAGGAGCTGGGAAGGCTTGTCTATGCGCAGACACCTCCTCCCCACTCTCGGTGCTCAGTGATGCTGGGTGGGGTGGGAACGTGTGTTCCTCAGAGCCGGGTGGTCAGGAGGGTGGAGTGCAGGCTGTAGCCTGTGACTGACCCTGAGGTATTACAGGCCAGTGCTCCAGTCCCTGTCCCGCCTGAAGCCCACCATGACGTTGGAGGAGGGAATTGGGCAGGCCGTGCAGGAATGGCAGAGCACAAGCAACTTTGACCGGATGACCTACTACGACATGGCAGCAAAGTGAGTCAGGGTGCTTGGTCCCCACAGCTTTGGGTTGGTTGCTGAACGCAGTCAGGGTTAAGGGGGTGGGTGATCGCAGCAGGGTTGAGGGGTGCTGAGTGCAGGTCAGGGTCCAGCTGTGGTGGTGCTCAGCAGAGAGGATGTAGGGAAGAGGGCTGTTGGTCAGCACAGGGTCCCCACCGCCCAGTGGCCCTTCCCTCCTCTGGAAGCCTCTCCCTCACCTTCAGACCTGGGTTCTTCTGCCCTACGTCCCCTGGGAGCTCCACCCTCGTCTGATCTTGAGCCATCCTTGGCTGGACATGACGCCTCAGGACAGGTGGGGGTGAACGTGCCAAGCCCAGTGGGGACAGACTCCAGCCAGAGAGGCTGTGCAGGGAACGTCCCCACCAGGCAGCCTCCTGCCTGCTCGGTGCCTTGGCCCTGACAGCCCCAAGGCCCTTGTTCTCCCACCCCCACCCCCCATTACTGCTGCCTTTGCTGGGCTCTGGGTGCCTCCTTCTCAGCATAGCCTGTGTCTCCCTCTCCCCCAGGTTCATGGAGTTTCAGGCGGAGGAGGACATGCAGATTAGGAAGTTGCAGTTGATGAAGGGGGCACAGGTCCAGCCTCTTCCAGCCCCACCGAGACCTGATCCTCAGGGTTTCCCTGCCTCAGTGGTGGGCCCGCAGCCAGGTACGCCAGGACGTTCCCACAGGAGCCCAGGGCGAAAGACAAGAGGGACCCAGGACAGGGCTCACTGTCCCCACCCTATTGGTCCTTTTCCTTCAAGGATGCTTTGGTCTTTCAACTGAAACACCATGAAAGCCAGGGCCTCAGCTGCCCTTAGTCACCATGGGGTCTGGACTTGGTCAACTCTCATAACCCCTCTCCTATTTCCTTGCCAAAGGCCCCAACATACAGTGTGCTGAGAAGCAGGCTGAAGGGGGACCCTTGGAGAATCGGTGGCTAGACATGTCCTCACACACGACTGTCTTGCATGCTCCCTCTGTCCTCTCCCCTCACAGGGCCACAGGGCTTCAGGTGGTCCTGACCGGTCGCACCCATGTGAATGCCCCCCAAGCACTGCCCTCCCCTTCACATGCTCGGGAGGTGGAAGCGTTATCCCCTCACGCTCCTTCCTCTTCCCTCTCTGCCCAGTGAACACTCCCAGCACCCAGTGCGCTCACCCACTGCAGCGGCCAGGGGAGACCGAGTCACCCAATGGCATCCCCCCTGAGGCCGTGCAAGAGTACATGGACACCATGGACTATTTGGAGGGGCTGGCGCACTCAGCCTCAGGGGAGCCAGGAGGAGAACGGAAAGAGCACACTAAGGAGTGGTATGAGGAGGAAGGTTTCCTGAGCTACCTTGACGAGCTGTGCTCCCAGAACGACTTCGTCACCCAGGTGGGCTGGCTCAGAGCTCCGGGGTCCAAAGCTTCCAGAGGGTGGCTCTCCAACAGCCAGGCCTGGGTTCTGCCCAGGCCAATGGGATTGAGCTCTGTTCTTGGTTCCTGAGCTGGGAGCATGCGTGGGTGTCAGTGAGTGTGTCTGTGTGTGATGTGCGTGTTGTATGTGAGTGATGTGTGCTGTCTATGTGCAGGTGGGTCTGCCCTTGTGCTTGTATGTGTATGTGTTCCCAGGTGTGTGTGTGGCTGATGACTAAGATGGAGTAAAACACCCACCTTGTGCATGAGGATGGGGTGGGGGTCTGCTTTTCTACTTGTCCTCGGTCCTGCTGGCTCACAGGTTACTCCCTTGCAAGGATGCTCACAGCTTCTTTCTTGTCTCCCAGTTGGAGGAAGTCATTCACCCGCTATTCACAGCACGAGCACTTTCCTCAGGAGCAGACATGGATCTCTCGGACCTGGCTGAGAAGATGGAGCAGGAAGAAGGAGTCTCTCCTGCCCAGGTGAGCCGGGGGAGGGTAGGACCTTAGGAGTATGGAAGGGAGACTGCAGGTGAGCCGGGGGAGGGAAGGACCCAGGCGAGTTAAAGGGCAGAGGGACCCCAGCTAACAGAGTGGATGGAGGGTCCCAGTGTGAGTCAGGGAGGGAGGGGTTCCAGGTAGATTGGGGGTCGAGGAATCCCAGATGAGCCATGGGAGGGTGCACCCAGGTTAACCAGGGCAGGAAGCATCCCAGAAGAGGGGTGTACAGGACTGTGCACCCCACCATGCCGGTAAGCTGCACGCCCAGGGGTCAGCTCCGGGTGTGTGCAGTCAGGACGACAAGGAGAGGACTAGAGAGAGAAGAGGATGATGGGAAGGAGAGGGTGTGGAGCCCAGAGGGGAAGCAAGGACACAGGCTGGGAATGTGGCACAGGGGACAGCAGCAGAGCCACATGTATGGTTTTAATCTGAGTCACTGTGCCACCCTCTGCCTTCCTCCCCCCAACGCCATTGTCCCATCACCCTGCTCCTCCCCCTCTCACACGCGTGTGCAGAGCCAGTCACTGTCCCCTTTCTCACAGCTGGTAGAGAAGCGGCTCCTGGCCTCAGAGAGGACAGAGGGTGTGCAGGCATCCCCGAGTCACGGCGCAGCCCTGTGGGACTCACGTCCTTCTCAGTCTGTGGCTGGCCACGATGCCCAGAGCTGTGACCTCGGCCCCCAGCTGGGGGGCAGTGAGAAGGCCAGCCCACCGGAGACCGACTTCAAGGACCGTCAATGGCCCCATCTAACAGACGCCCACCTGTCGGGGCCCAGGGCTTCTGCTGTCTCTTCAGGACGTCAGGAGCACCCACCACTCCGGGCTCAATGTCCCCCCTCGACTCCCCAGGATCGCGGGCGCACTTACTCTGGACTGGGACCCAGGGAGGCCTCCATTCCCAGAGAGCCCCCTCTTGTTAGGGAGCCTCACGGGCCAGTGGACAGGTCCAGGGAGGATGAGGGGGACCTGCCCAGCCTGGCCTTCCTCTCGGCCTCTCCTAAGAGCCTGCTGCCCTGTGTGCTGTCCCTGAGCCCTGTCCCGACCTCGGGCCGTGTCTGCCCTGGAGCTCGGGGGCCCCGGGGAGCTGCCCAGTCCCGGTTCTATCAGACACTAGGCCTCAGCCGAGCTCCACCCTCAGCTTCCAAGTCCAGGAAGCGTGCTCTGGGTGGAGGCCTCGTCCATGCTGAGAAGACCCCCCTCCCAGGGGCAGACCTCGGGGTGTCTGGGAGGCCAGCATTGGCTCTGGGGCTGGGTAGCTCCTCACAGCCTCAGAAGAGAAAGAGTGACCAGTCTGTCCCTGGGGGTTGGGCGAAGCGGCACTGCAGCCAGGATGTAGCTGTGGGGTGTTCCTCCGGCTGCCAGGCCCCCGGGGGGCCCAGACTAGATGTGACCTGTCTGTCCCCCAGAGGAGCCAAGAGCTCCTTCTCATCCCAGGGCTGATCCTGGCTGTTCTCCTGACATGGAGGGTGGAGGCAGGGAGGGGGGCAGGACTGTTAGGGTGGGGGTGGGCCTGGGGGTGGGCCTGGGGGAGGGGTAGGAGCAGCACCTTGGGGACATTGTGTCAATTTTGAATAAAGATGATTTTGTTGGAAAATGCTCTGCGGGCTGCTGTCTCCACACTCGGACCTACGATGTTCCTTAGAGAGGGGACCTGAGAGGGGGAAGGATGTGGGGTGTCAGGGGTGCTATGAATCCACAGGTGACCCTTCAGCCCCCGCTTCCAGACTGACAGGGATTCTGCCCACTGCACCTGGGAGCACACAGCTCTCCACTCCCAGCCACCCCTCCCATCTCTTCTGCTCCCCACTGGTCAGGGGCCCCTGAAGCGGTCAGACAATGGGGTGAGGGATTCTCAGCTTATCCAGGGTGTCCTGTGTGGGTGGCCTGACCAGAGAGGACAAGATTTGGCCTCAGGGGACAGGGTGTCTGCCTCTGGGCTTCCTGGCAGGGGAAGCATCCTCTAGACTCAGCGGGATGGTTGAAAATGCAGGGTGGTGGAGGGGTGAGGCCGGGACACGGGGTTACAAGCCTGGTAATGGTGGGTACGCGGGAAGTGACAGTGGGTGGGGCTGATACCAAGTCCTGTGCTGTTTTCTGTGTGGGAGCATCTTGTCCGACTGAACGGAGGACCCATCTGCTCTGGCTGAGGGACGAGGCTCAGGGACAGTGGTCTTCAAGGACACCCACAGCTACTGTCCCTTCCCCCCTCCCATGGCTGCACTCAGTGTGAGGAGATGCTGCGCAGATGTACACTCACGTGGAAACAGTTCCTACTCACAGACTGTCACCCAGCGTCACAGCACAGCCAGCAGGGGCTGCAGGGGCCCAGGTGGGTATGGCCCCAGGGCTGGTGGGCCTGGAGATTCAGGCTGAAGGAGGGTCCCCAGTCACCCTACTGTGGGCACTTGGACAAACTCACAGTCTAAACAGGGGACCCGAACCCCAGCTGTAAGAGTGAGATGAGCCAGCAGTGAGGGACAGGAGCTGAGCCCAGGACACCCGTGTGCAGAACTGCCTGGTCCCAGCTCTGCTCCCACGGGGTCACGCCCTGGTCCTCACCCCTTTCCCCCTGCCCGGTGCCTGCTCTCCAGGATTGCAGTTCTGATTCCTTCCCTGGGCCAGGGGGTGTCAGGACGGCTGAGCCTCCCTGAGCATGGCCCTGGCTCCACCCAGCACGCAAAGCTGTGGCCCAGGACTGTGATTCAGCAGCAGCGATGGGAAGGGAATGAAGCTGTCTATTTCCACAGGTGGCCTGGGCCCCACAAAGAGCCTGGTGAGAATGGACTCATGTCAGGGCCCCGCCCCTCCCACAGATCGCAGATCAGCCCACAGGCCCTCGCTGCCTTCCCTCCTCCTGGGCGGAGGGCAGCGGCCACGTGTCCCCGCCCACCTGGGCACTTTGTGAAGGACACGTCTCATCTTGGTCACACTTTCTCAGCTGCTGCCCACTCCCTGTCCAGCTGGGCCTCAACACAGAGAAAGGGCTCAGAGGTTGTGTAGACTCGGTGAGTGTTGTGGGACTGGTCCAGGAGCTGCCACCCCTCGTGGGTGAGCATCCTCCCCACATGCCCACCTGCTGTGTCCCTGCCTAGGGTGGTAGGATCTGTATGCAAATGTGATAGGTGACAAACAGGGCCTGGGCCCTCCATTCACTGGTCGAAATTAATCTTCTGACTTCTCTGTTTTCATGAGGTTTGTGGTGAAACAGGATAATGCACCACCTCCTCAGGGTTGTTAGAGACACGGAATGAGTCTTGTTTGAAGGGAACTTATTTGCTCCACCCCTGTGTGTGCTGGGTCCTCAGTCACCAGCACCAGGTTCACACCAGGCCCTTGCCTCCACCTCCGACCCTGTGAACCCCGACATCTCCCTGGAGCCTGCACAGTGGGGCCGACTAGAGGCCCATCACTGCTTCATCCGTGGGCGAGTCCAAGTCCACGGGCTACGTGGATTCTTGTAGAGATTTGCACTGGAGGCTTTGGAGAACACTAGGGTAGGTCCAATGGGAAGAAAGGGAAGATGTGTTTCATATTTTCTTTGCAGCCGTCCGTCTTTATTACAGAAAAACAGACTTGACAGGACACTTGGGAGGACAGCGCATGAGGTAGGAAGCTGGGCAGCGCTCCTCGTGACTGAGGTAGAAGCTGTAGAAACGACAACCCTGTCCCCTCACACTCCATGAAAATCACGTGGGTCATGCAGGGAAGGTGCTCCCTGGGTGCTTGGTGCTCTCTGCTGCTCCCCCTCCCTGTAGCTCGCTGGGGGTCCACAGAGAGCCTGGGAGTCTGTTACCTGTCACCCGTTCTTCTGTGAGCACAGTGGGCTTGGGAGGTCAGGGGACTGAGTGCAGGTCACACACCAGGAATTGGGACAGCCTGGGTGGCACCAGAGACTTCCTCCTCCTCCACTAAGAACAGATCCCCTGGAAGAAGCCATGGAATCCCTGGGACATCCCAGTGATCGAGGAGCAGGACCTGTCACCACCCTCGTGGTTCTAAGTGGCATTTCACTGTGGATGGAGGTGGGTTTCCGTCGTGTTGAATGTCTGTTCATGTGTTTACTGGCCACGTGTGTGTCTTCTTCAGACCCATGTTCTTCACCGCTTGCCAACTTTTTTTGGTTTGACTTTTATTATTGAGCTATAAGCATTCTTTTTATATTCTAGGTAAAAGTGTTGTTCCAGAGATAAGATTTCCACCAAATTCTCCCATTTTGTGGGTTGTCCATTACTTTCTTGTAGTGTCTTTGGAAGAAAAAGAGTCTGAACTTCTGATGAAGCACCACTTATTTATTTATTTATTTATTTTGTTGCTTTCGTTTTTGGTGTCATGTCTAAAAATTTGTTGACAATCCTGCGTCATGAAAATGTATGCCTGTGATTCTTCTTTTTTATTGTTAATGCTCACTTGATGATATTTTTTCCATTGATTTTTAGAGAGAGTGGAAGGAGGGACGTGGGGAGAGAGAGAAAAACATCAGTGTGAGAGAGGTGTCTATTGTCTCCATGAGCCTTGACCTGGTTCCGGGATCATCAAGCCTGCAAACCGGGTATGTGCCCCTGATCGGGAATCAAACCGGAGACTCTGCGGTGCAAGGACCGAAACTCTAACCATTGATCCACACTTGTCAGGCTAATTCTTCCTTTTTAAAATTATCTTCACCACTTTCCCCCCTCAATTTCTATTTATTTTTCTTACAGATGTTTCTCCTTTTCCCCCCTAGACACTCTCCTTCCCATCCCACTCCCCACTCCCCACCCCCAACCTTGTTGTCTATGTCCATTGGTTGTGCATACATGCATTTAAGTTCTTTGGTTCATCTCATCCATCCCCCCAACCCCTACTCTGAGGTTTGTCAGTCTGAACCATACTCCTTTCTATGTCTCTGGGTCTATTTGGTTCATGAGCCCACCTTGTTCATTATATTCCACAAATGAGTGAGATCATGTGGCATTTGTCGTTTTATGATTGGCGTATTTCACT